GAATGTTTTATTCGAATGATCGAATTTCTATTCGATTCAACCCAAGTATACTACCAAGTATCTGGGACGGCATATTCAGGTACGTAATATTGGCTATCCCACAGTACGTAGCACGTTGGAAAAAGTGTGGGCAGCGTTATAGCAAATCCCAAGGCGTAGCTCAAAAATAACAAAAGTGAAGTTCTAGCGGCAGAAAAGAAGGGTGTATAATATACTGGATAGACGATGCAAACGAATCTGAACAAATCGTTAAACTTGCGTCTTTTTCTGCATCTTCTACCCTATACCTGTTAAATGCCATCAGAGCAATGTGCACAATTTCTGTATACCAAAAAATGTTGTAAAATAACATAAAATAGTTAAGTACGGCTTCAGTACGAGAATTAACGCTGTGTATTAATATAGACGGTATAAAGTAGCACAAAGATATTATACTCATGCCAGCGTCGCATAGGAAAAAGGAGGCCATAATCCAGTAGCTAAAAATAGCACTTTTTGTGACACATTACGGGAATTTCAATAAAGAAAATATAAATAATTATACCTTGTAAATTTGCGAAGTTCCCGCTATTGCAAATCAAAAAAGGAAGTAACAAGTTTGCAACAAGCGAATACACAGATAATGTGAGCCAAGTGCCACCAAAAATCTCATCCCTCACTTGTTGTTTCATGGTCCTCCGGCCGAAAATGCTTTTTCTGCAAGAGAGTACACGGGAGCACTTTGAAAAATTGCAGATAATGAATTCGATGGGCACACTATGAGAGCAAAGTGACATACAAATGGTATACAGCGGAGCTGGCCCGATACCGCTTCCGTACATTAGCCATCTTCGCTTTGGGTTTGGAACCTTGCACTAAAAGTTTTGACCGCATCTTTGATTCTTCAGTTCATAAGCTTACTTTCCCTCTTTTTTTCCGGATTTCCTCATTCAGAAAGAGAAAAAAGAACGGTTAGGGTTGCTTTATTATTTATTTATTTCTTGAATATATTCAATAATCTTCCCTCACTACTGATGACTTCCTGGGATGGTCGTAATCTTTGTCTAATTTCCGTTCAGCGGAAGGAAAAAACGGAAATGAGATTTTCAATTGTTTTTAGTAGTATTAAACTAATTCCACTTGGTGAACGTCGCATGCTTTAAGATATGTGTATGAACCTATTGAGTGTGTGTGTATGTGTGTATGTACCTACTGATACTGTCAAACTTGGAACCATCTTGAAATTTAAGAATGCACAGTACCTGGTGTTCACGATTTCGACTGATTGCTTGAAGA